AAGACAAGCAGGATAACAGTAAAGTGGGTTATAATAATTCTACAGCTACACAAGATGTGCAACAGAGAGCAAAGCGTTCATCTAGCCCGGGACAACTAGCTAGTTTTTCAAGCTCGTTTTTGAAGCGCTAAGATAGGCCAAGTACAAGTTAATTGACTTCGTTTTGTGGTCTGACTCTGAACAACCAGTCGACGTTTGTTTCTCTCCCTTTTATAACCTCATGTCCAAAAAAGTTCTAGGTCAAGCTTGGAGATCAAAATCTTACAGATCAAAAGCCTTATCCTCTTTTGACAAGAGGTAACGCCTTTTTCAACGATTCCCCACTGCTTTTTCAAGTTGTTTGACCATAATAACCATTGCTAATTGTACGTAAGTAGAGACACTTAAAATTGTCTGAAGAACTCTTTTTCCCCACCAGCACTTCTGCGAGTATGTAGTTGCACCGGGCGTACCTTTTTAAAAACTTAAAAGCTTTTTAAGAGCTTGTTTTGAAAGCATATGCATTAAAGCGGAGGAGCACTGCATTGTTGGAGGGATCTTTTCGCTTTCATTCTGCCGTGACAAAGTTAATTAACACGTATTGAGTTATACGAGCTGACTAAAATAGACAGCAACTGGCCACTTTAAACCAATTATCATTTTGACGGAGTTAAGAGTCATTAGTGAGATTCTGAGTCAGAGATGTTAAGCATTGTCGGTGTTATACTAGGACTTAAAGTTCTAAAACATACGATTTTCCGAAAGATTCTCGATTACTCAACTCCATTTTCTCTTGACTTTGAGTTACGTTTATGTCCTTAAATGAGATCGAGCAAGGGGAGTTGACAATGCGCGTTTTGTTTTGAAGTGTCTTTCAGAGAACTACACCCCCTACCCTGGCCTTTAGGGTGTTTCTATGGTAACAATCTTTTCCCAAAGGTCTAAACAGTCTACAAACTTTTAAATAACAAATAATCAGTAACCATTAAACTTAAATGACATGAAAAAAGTCAACAGTTTTCTGGCTTATAAATATTTTAATCGACAACTCTTGTCTTCAGTTTACGTGGTGAATAAGCTTGGTAGATGTACTCAGTATTCATTACATTTAATGAAGTTTGTAAGGAAAACTGAAAGAATTGTTAATTTATCACATTTCATCAGGTTTCATTCTCGTAATTCACATTAAGAAACCAATAGGGGCGTTTCGAAAAGTAGCTGATTTGCTCAAGATCACAATGCTTATGTTTCATAAACGATACAAGAAAAGTAAGAAGCATTCTCTAGCAAATATATATCCTCTTACCCACGATTTGGTTTTTTACCTCTTCTTGACTTTTCAGTAAAGTCTACTTTTTAAAAACTTTCCGCTTCAATGAAAGAAATATAAGCCTTTTGCTAAAGCCTTACCCTTGCTTTGATTTATTCAATGATGCGATTCAAATTGAGAACAATTTTTAGAGCAAAGAAAGACTCAAAGAAGCACTTTTCTCAAAACGTTTAGGTGAATTGCTTGGTGGCACGCATAGTGAAAACAAAATTTAAACTACACCTGACTTAAACGGGTTTCTCTTTTTTTCGGTGGCGACCAATCTTCTACCACTCCTTTAAAATCTAATTTCCTCTTTGCCCTCCACTCCTTTATCCCACGAGTCCTGTCATCCAGTTTCCACCTCGAGTGGGTTTCTTTTGTGAAAACTGACCCCTTTCGTCACGCATTGGTGGTTGTTTTTCCCGTGTCAGTTGCACCTCTGCAGACACTCCACCCGTTTTCAGTGTATCATTGCCCATGGAGCTCAAAGCGAAGCCTCCAACCGTAAAAAGTGCACCGTGACCACGCTGCGACTTCCTTCGCGTTCGATGACGACCGTCTACCCTCTCTGATATGGGCGCAATAAATGCTGCGAATTGACTCCTCAGTTTAACCACGTCAAGAGAAGACGAAAGAAGTGTATTTTCAAACACG